AATATTTAATTTTATAATAGAAAATTATTTAATAATTAATATTTATTTCAAATGTCTGACTGAATATCTAGGTCACAAGAAATTCATTCCACTCACTGATTGGGTGACAAAAATTTTATTAAGGGAAAAAAAAAATCTTAGGATTTCAAGATGCCAAGTGATGTCTACTTCAGATGAAGGTTAAATGAGACCTGCTTGATCTAATTTACTTTAAATTTTATGTAAAAGAGTGAAAAATGACATCTTAATCACTTTGGGTTGCTGTTCAAAAAAACTTCACAAATGTTTTCTCTTTTTTTTCTCAGTATTGCTCCCATTCCAAAATTAAAGACATGGGGTCTATTTGTTATTTAACAAGTTTTATCTATGTAATAGCATCCCTCTGTTCAAGGCAAGATAATAGCACTATTTCTATCACTTCAGTTAAGGTTGTGTCAATATTTTCATTAGAAGTCTGCGTTTTAGGAACTAAAACCATACTACAGACAAGGAAATTCACGTACAGTTAGAATTACGACAGCAACATCTGAAATCCGGTGGAAAAGAAAGAAAGAAAATATATTCATTTCTAAGATTTGAGGAGAAAAATTAATGATCCCAGCTCCCCTTCCACAGCTCCTGGCATTTTATAGTTTAGCACTCCATACCCCTCGCTGATGATATGTTAGCTGTGAGTGGAAGGTTGTAGAAACTGAATTAGTTTAATTTAGGAAATGAGCTACTATATATGCTCAAGGTCTGATTGCAGTTAGGAATCCTTTCTTTTTCATATGTAACAAAAATATATCTGTGCAGGTATTTGTTGTGGATCAATATATTATAGGCTTCTCAAAGTAGCTGTATAAAAAGTTGTTCTACGCCATATTAGCATTCTCCAGTGTACACAATGGGCTGTAAATCTTTTGAATTTATGTATTTGCTTAGTGATTCAGGTTTTAAAAAAGAATATGAACTTTAAGACAGTGTACAAACTTGGGTAGAGAAGATGGAGAAATATGAACAGCCCTCTGTGCCTCAGACCAAAATTTCCATTGATTTCAGTGTCTGATTTAAGAACTGAATGCAGCACATGTGTCTTGAGGATTATATGATTGTGGAATCACATTATGTGTGAAGAAGAAAAGCTGTCTTTCTGGAGCGTACCAATTACTTTAAAAACCTCAATAATATTGTATCCTTCTTAGCATATGTACGGCAGGGTCACAAATTTTATTTCATGTTTTTGAGATTAATTTTATATGCTAAGAAAGAAAACATAACAGAAAACCACAAAACTTGTATTTATTTATCCCTATTTTATAGAAAGTTCATATCAATTAACAGGAACATGTGAAGAAAGCAAATAGACTTGCTTATCTAATGAAACAATCTGCTAGGAGAAAAATTGACAGATGTGTTGTAAACAAATGAAAATACAGACCATTTGAATTGCATGAAAAGGAACACTTAAGCATAGTGGATTTAATGATCACTTTGACGACAATGGAAAAATCAATATTTGAAATGTTTAAATGTAGTTTACAAAAGTGCTGCTGTTTCTCCAAGCTTCAGATGTGTACATGTTTTTTTATTAAATCCCCCTCTTTTGGTGAGACGTGAAGAGTGGGAACACTAACATTTATCTTAGAAAAGTCCTTCCCTTACTAAATTTTGAGTGAGCAGAAAAGTGAGTAGGACTACATGAATATTATTTGCCTGTTCTCTGAGGAACAGGGTATCCTATATATGTCATTTTGGGAGACCAGCCAAAAAGAAGATGCCAGAACTCTAAACAGTCAGGGCTTTGCAATAATATAATAAAATATAATAACATGATAAAAAAACAGTCAGGGAGGAAAACAAAGTTCTGAATTTGTAGGTGATATAATCAGATCTTTGAAAACCCCAGTGTGTTTAGTGGAGGATTTATTCTTTGACTGCTGGACCAAACCCAGTTAACTCCTCTGTTACACTCATCAATATTTATGGAGAGTTGCCAACACACACGGTCTTATACAAAACACAGGACAAGACATAATCTCTATCTTGTTGTATCTTTCAAGAAAGAAAGAGATGGAAATTCTGACATAAATTCCAGTAGAAAGAACAGGTGTTTACAATTTTAACTTCAGGAGAAGTAAATGCATTCTTATTTTTCTCCCTGATTGCTTGACAGAATTATGATTGCAGCTCCCTTGATGATTATTTTCTAATTTTTTTTTTGAAAGTGAGGCATTTGTAACTCTGACAGCTTGATTTTTAATCAAAATTAGCATATAACTTTCAATTTTTATTCTTTAATATAAAATTATTTGTCCTTGTCTATTTTTTACTTTACCTTTTAACCGTATTCAGTCTTTTCAATTTTGTGTTTAATAATTTCTATCTAACATCTCAGCTACATAGTTATTGTTTTAGTATATATGTCTTAAATTGTTACAACTGGCTACAACTATACACAAAAGTTTCAATTTAAAATATCATGATGATTCATAGAGTTTTATAATTACACCTTCTGTAATTAATTGTGTGCAAGTATGAACATGGCGAATACTATTTTCAGAGCACATTAATTTGATGCAAGTTGACTGAGGCTTCAAATCTAAAACCAGTTGAGTTATTACTATGCTGCATCAGCCTTTATTGATTTTAAGGTACAGCATTAGCATTCACTTATCACTGCATATTTTTCCCCATTCTACATTAAAAGAGCTTGCCCTCATCTGTCACAATCTTATACTGCATAAATCATATAAAATGATCACTTAGTTCCGTGATTTACTTCATTTTAATGTTAATTATACTGAAACATAGGATTGTTTAATAAAAATGTTGAAGCTAATCTATATTGGTCATCAATATTTTTTACGCACATTACATGGCAGAATGTGTGATAAACCACAATATCCAATATGTATGGAAGGGCATTTAAAGTGAATTAGGATTTAGACTAACTTAGAACTGAGACAAGTTTTAATTTTACAGATACTGAATAAAACCTGACATTTACACAGTATTTTCTTATAAGTTAATGGTGTCTATTAATCATAATCACTTGAAAAATACAGCATCTTACCCCCAGTTTTCACAGTTTAGAAACATAAGATGTGCTTTAGCTTCTCAGAATTACTTTCTTAAGGCAACACTGGCTTCCCAAAAAAATGAGTCAAATATTAGAAACTTCCCACCCAAGGTAAGACACTCAGTGGAAACCTGCATTCTTCCAGACAGGCTTTGTGCCTGAGGAAGTGCAGAAGGATCAGCCTAGGACATATCTGACACTGATCTTCAAAGACTTCTACTTATTCATTGGAAGAAGTCCTCTTGAAATTAAAGACATTATGTGAAATCAAAGGCTAGGTCCCATCTAAATAGTCCTCAGGGCTACTGATTGAATGGTCTGTGACATATTTACAGAGGGTATTTCTCAGGACACACAAGGAAAATTTTTGCAGAATCAGTGCCTTGACTAATGCTGCGGAGATCAGAGCATTTCCTATTTTCCTGTATTATGTTGCCACTTTAAATTCAGCTGACTCCAGATACTCTGGGTAAATCGAGGCATGCAATGTTAACTTAAAAGTAATTAATGGGTAATATGTAAGTGTTTTTTAAGGACAAGGAACACATTTTCAGAAAAACAGATTCCATTTTTTCCTAGCCTGCTATTTCAGGAGCAAGACCAACAAGCAAATGTATTTAGATGTGTGGACGTATGTTAATCTTAAGGAAAAAGATCTCAAAATTGAACACCTCCTTATCTGCCAAAAAATTAATGAAAAGCAATTTTATTAATACGAGAACTAAACTATAGTGTGTCACTTTCCTAGAAATTTAAGCTATTGAGAATTTTAGTGTTTGGGAACATTTTTAATTCTGCAGCAAGGATCAAAGACATGATAGACATAAAAGGTACAGAATGTGTGTGATAATCTGAAAGTATTTTAGAACATGTACTGTTGTACTGAAAGTATTATCCTGGAAAACAAGAGTTCATCAGATTTTGTACCAGTTTATTGAGAAACTTCAAGATTTCAATTAAATTTCTTGCTGTTCAGGTCAAATGAGAAGGGTTTTTTAGCCAAATTTATGAGTCCTGCAGCATTTAAAACACTTATAAAAACAGTAAATGCATTCCATGAATTATTTGCAGCTTTCTAAATGAGATTTAAGTTGCCTTTTAGTAAAGAAATCCATAGCTGCTTTTTTTAACTACACTGTAACTGGTAAGCATGTTTATTATACTCAGAAGCCAATGTAATTTAGTTTTATCAGGTTTTGTGTCTGAATTGATGTAATTTTCAAAAGCATTCTTTGCTTGCATGTTTCTGGTGTTTAATACTTTACTTGTTATTTAATTTATTTATGACAGAAAATAAGAACCATTGCAGACTCTGAGCACCATGGCAGTATAATAAAACACAGTCTGTAGTTATTAAATAGAAATAACAAAGAAACAGGAACAGATTATTTAAAATCCAACCATGCAGCTGAAAAGATAATAAAACTCTGACTCTAACCAACAGAAAAAACCCCACTAAATAACCTAAGAATTTGTTTTTTAAATGGCTTAACTTTTTCCCTTTTCATAATTTTCTAGGCTTTAAAATATTAACAACTGATGTTTGTTCATGTGTGAGCTTTAAGGAAAACAGTGGGGGAAATAGCTGAGAAATAGGCATAAGCATTTGATTTTTTGAGATTACAAAAAAAAAAGGAGTTAGTTGGCCTAAGGCTAGAATTTTCATTACATCAATGAAAGAAAGAAAACAGAAGCCAGCAGAGGGGAGTTATAGAAACTGACTTTATATAAACAGTGAGAAAAATCCTTTTTCCACGGCCACCTACAACGTAGCTACTTCACCATCAGTTCGATTTCTCTTTTAACCAGTGGCACAGCAGCCCGGGCCCGATCCTGCCGTTTTAGAACAGGTTACAGTCTGGCCGGGAGGTTTGTCCCTCACAAGATCTAGCTAACAGTTTGTCAAAGAGAGCAGAAACAAAAAAAAAATTACACGTACCTAAATTGACAAAGCTCATGACCATGTCAGCATCATTCAGAAAGTTGGTGTCGTGCAGGCTGGCTAAGGGAGGATTCTGTGTGGTCAGGGGGGTCATGCGAGATAATTGTATTCTCCGTGAATATCCATTTGGAGAGGCACGGTATCCTTTCCGTATCCCTCTGCTCTCCCCTGCCATTGATCCCTTTAGTGAATACTCCAGCTCCTCAGTATTCTCTTCATTTGTCATGGCATTATACAGGTCCAGCATGAAGAGAGGTGCAGAAGAAGCCTGCTTTCCTGGTGAAAATGGTCTGGGTCTGTGAGGTAAACCCAGGATAGAGAGAATCTCTCTCTGAATCTCCCTTCTCTCATGGTTCCGCAGCCTCCTGTAAATAAAACTTGAATGGACATGATTGTCTCCTAAACCTCCCTGTGCGTGACCCACCAGAACCCAGCAATTCCAGAGCAAGCCCACGAAAGCTTTGAGTGCGGTTAGGTTCATCTTTGAAAAGAAAAAGAACAAAGAAAAAAAATCTTTTCTCCTACTTGTTCTGAGTTCCTATGAGGTCTGCTTTCCCAGTAGCTGAAAAACAAAATTTACCTATTCTTCATGTCAATGTCATCTCTAAATGTAACATCTTTGGTGATTCCTCTCCCCCCACCCTGTTTAAATATTATGGAATGTGTCAGGTTGCAGTTATTTCTAAGAAAGTTGAAATTCAGACTTCCATTTTTCCACTGTTGTTATCAGTTTTTCTGCATTTATGGAGCAGAAGACCAGTATTTTGTCAGCTGACCTAGGCATTCCTATATAAACCTTAGATAACCAGGTCTTTGGTGGGGAGCTGTATTAGCAAGAGCTGTTCTTCTGACACATTGTAGTTCCCAGAGTTATCTTCCCTTGTTATTCTGAGTTCTTCGTACACCTTGCGCTCTTCCCAAGATAAAATCCTGAGTCACAGATTTGTCTTGATCTGTACCTTGGTGGTGTAACACATGTTTGTCCAGCAGCCTGGTGATAACTTTAACATCGTTTGAATCGCTTGAGTGTAAAGTAATTCTAAAGCATGTACTAATCAAATGAATGTGTTGCCATGAATTTACTCGCAAAAAATAACCTTCCGTAAATCCATTCAGCCCTTTTCAGCTTCTGAACTGTTATTTCCAACTGTAGCAGGCACAAATATAACAGCTCTCTTCAAGAGAGATCTAAAGACTAATGTAAGCACAACCCTGCTGGGAAAGAAGAGGCTTCTCATTGTAATTTGAAACGGGTATAGCAAAAAAGTCCTTAACCCTTCTCTTGCCAGACAGAGCTTTAAATCTCTCTCTCCCTCCCCAGTTTACAGTAATATACCTAATTTTGGCTATTGGCTGTTTCTTTCCTAACAGCTTGCAGAATCAATTTTAACTGTAACAATTTTAAGACATATAGATAACTAAAGGCATGGCATAATACAGAAGCTCTCGTGAGTCTTCTTATGAGTCTGTGGTTTAGTAAACTTCAATAGGAAACTCTCATAACAGACTAAAATAGCATCTCACTAATCCAAGAAATGTTTATGTTTTAGATAAGTTTAGCAAACAAAGGTGAATTGTTTGGTAAATTCTGTAAGAAATTTTGTTGGTGAGACTTGATTCATTCTTTTCTAAAAATGTAGGGAGTGCAATCTGAATGAAATAAATTTATTCAGCAAGCAAGATTTCAAATTGTGCACAGCCAATGTTGTAATAATGGATATAGTCACAATGTTCATAAACTGTAATTTGCAATGATAATTTATTCAAAGTACATTTTTACTCATAAATTGTTATACTACATTTCCTAGTAAATGTCAAAAGCTAGGATTTAATCCCATAGCCTGCTATTAACTGGAGAAGGAAACAGCTTAACTGAAGAAATAAAAATATTAAATAGATTTTAAAGCTGCTGCCTGTGAAGTTAAGGTTCAACTTAGCATTTTTCAACGGCCAGTAACTGGTGTTTTCCTCTCACTGAAACAAAATCACCATGATGAATTTCATACTGTTAAGATTATTGGTGGTCATTTTCCTTGCTCCTATGATTTGCCTTTAGCCTTGAGGGCATTTTCCTTTGTTGAAGGGGAGAAAAAAGGGACAGAAAAGGATTTTTGTCAACATGACATTGGGGAAAAAACAGGTATATATAATCCATCCCATCAGGTTTTCCTTTACATGACACCTACTCAGCAAATCACACAATTCTTGAGTAAACTTAGGAGTGTGACAGCAAGTATAGTCACACCCTAAGAAGCAAGGAACAATTTATCTAGTACATTAACCACAAATGAGTTTTTCTCATATTTGTGAGTCCTAGTTTATATTTACAGTCTAGTCCAGACATCATTAAAATACAGCTGATTCTCTGTCATAAATCAGCACATTTAATGAAACAATGCTTCTCCCAAGGAAGGATTTATCTCATACTAGACCTGCTGAATTAACGCTAAAGTTAGGAAGCTATTTAGCAAAAGTCTTGTTCTTCTCAGCAGAAGAGCAATCACAATCAGAACACATTTTCTTTCTTCATTGAGGTTTTCCATTAAAATCCATTTATTATAAGAAAAGTATTATTTCTTTTTTTTTCTTCCTTTCACTTGCTCTGCCCAGACAATTCCAATGGTACGTAAGACTTCACCAAACATATGTCTTTTCTGAATTTGGCCATCACATATCCTGCAACAAGGTTTCTTCCTCTTTTCCAGCAATATATTTCCTTTTTTCCCTAAGCATTTGTAAAAGCCAGTGGATTGATTGCTCAGACGATTTAAGTCCTCAGCCCATCAGAATTTCCAGCTAGGGAAACTTCCTATATTATCCCACTAGAGCATCTGGAGGTCCACATTTAGTTAATCTTTTTGCATTAAAAAAGCCAAAAAATGCCCTCAAGTTTGAGGATGTTTTTATGTAGTAAACATCTTTCCAGACAGAAACTGAATAAGAACACATATAAACTAGTAATCACATGTTCCATGAAAACAGCTCCTGTTATTTTTTGACATAGCCACAACTAAACAAGTAACCTAAAAACAAAGGATTTATTTTACATTAACCTACCCCGCACTGAGACACTAAATGTCCTTGATTGGAATACAAAAATAAGAAGTTTTCATTAATATAAATACAATGTCCTTTTTTATAAAGCGCTGTTTCATAAACACTCATTGCTAGCATGGTTATCTTACACAGGGGAGAGAAAGCTCTAAAACTGAAAGTCTTTGCTAAAGAAATGAAAGGTATCTGCAATTGCTCATATATTCTATTTTGTATTTCCAACATGAAACAACATACTTCTAAAGAAAAAAATACCATATAGAATTCCAACACGTCAAGATACGCAGAGATAGACCTTTTTTCTTTCCCAGATGCTCAAACTGGTAGTAACATAAGAAATCACCTCACTAGCCCTTATCCAGTCCTTTAAAAAGAAAAGGAAGACTAAAATTCCTCCAGAAGTGAGCTCCCATTAGCAGTAGATATCTGACACAGGAGCACCTGGAGAAGAGGGTCTCAGAGGCAGGAAGGCAGCAAAGCACTGTGCAGGCACCCCTGGCAGAGCGAGACAGGAAGCAGCTGCATGATTTCTTAAACAATGTGGCATGAATGCACATGATGAGTGAATTCAGAGCTCATTACATTTGTATTAATCTAAACTATGTTAGAGCAAACATCATAAGGGAAGTAATGAAACCTGGTAATCCAGATCTTGCCAATCTCAGATTCCAATGGATCACCATTCACTGTAATGGTGAAAAAAATTGGTGAAAAAAAAAGATGGAAAAAAGCTACCCAGCAGGTCACTCTAATCATTTTCGTAGGCAATACCCACTACTCAAAAATATAAAAAAATCAGCAGATAGCTACTGAGGGCAGAATCCCTCCGATTCTCAATATCACATCAGCTGATCGTGATTCCCCACAAGCAATGATTCTCTGCAACTATTTGACAAAATAGACTAAAATGTAGACCTTCTTTAAGACATTTGCAGTCTAAATCAGAAACCTATGCATGCATACTGAATGATTCTGCTGGCTCTTTCCCAGCTAAATTTGGCATTCAGATCAATATTATGCATCAACAGATGATCCAGCATTAAAAAAGTTTAAGTCTGTCCTTGTTATGTCTCTGCATGGCTATTGTTGCAAAAAGTACATGGAGAAAGACTTTTATAAAAAGGTTTCATGAGAGCAGAATAATTAGTGGTTAAAACTGCAGATTCTCCAGCAAAAAGAAAGCAAGTAGTTTGGACTCCTCCTGGCGCAAAAATGTGACTCTGACACCACAGTTTGGCAAACCAGTTATACTATCTGTATCTAAGTCAGATTTACAGTCCTATAGACTGCATGAGTGTTTTAGCCTTTGGACATGCATATGTCTGGATGTTCCAAATGTCCAATCAACAAAACCTGTATGATAGCTTCCTCTTAGTTCTTTATTTTGTTTTATTGGGCTAGATGTTGTATGACAATTGTATTCTCACCCTACCAACATAAGAAAGAAACACAAATATATTTTTCTGAATCAATGAAAGATGTGTCTCCTAATGCAAAGGGAATTCCATTTGTAATGGACATAGTGTGAAAATTGGTAGAATTAGCTGCAGAAATTGGCAGTTGAGGCATAAATTGTCATGTTTGTAAATGTTTTATATTGATATAATATTCAGGGTATTATTTATTTATAGAGAGAGTATTTCCATTTTATGCTGCAGGAAGAGGAATGCTTTGCTAAATAACACACTGTGTGGAAGTGGTCCATACTTAGATTATAGTGTTATTTATTCAGTTACCAACCAGTTTCCTGTAGCAAAAGAGTTTTTCATCCAGGTTTACAAAACCTCAGGCAAAATCACAAATCAGCCTAGAAGGTAAGCACTTTTTTACAGAAAGGGCTCCAGCTTTAAATATAATAATGTGTGAAGTTTTTTATTCATAGTACATGCACAATGTTGTAAATCTATCAGCACAGAATACTCTGCAGCATTGAAATTATACTCTTCTTTAACATTAAGAAAATTGAGAAAAATAATTTAGCAATCTGCCTGAGAACTTTTTTGGAAACTTATTGTGCTCAAGAACTGGGGAAAAAAAAAAAGAAAAACTTGTTTTACACATATGCTTGAGAGTATGTGAACTGCAAAACATACAATTAATAATATGATCCAACATCACAGTGTTGTCATTTGCATGATTTACAAACCCAAAGAGCTCCCAGAAATTCCCTTTGGTTTACAATAAGCCTCTAATTAGCTTTAAAAAAAAAAAGAAAGAAAGAAAGAAAAAAAAGACTGGAACTGCGCTGAGGCAAACACAAAACACTTGGACAAGAGCAACATTTGTAAGTAGCAAAGCACTTTTAAAGAAGATTATTCTTGGCTCAGCTTGTAGAATGGTTTTATTGTGCCCCTGCTGCCAACTGGTACCTGCTGGTCTCCTTGTTCTTTGGCTGCATGGCCAGAAGTATCTTGTGCTGTTCCCAGGCTGGCTGCAGTGCTTTTTCAGGGAACCTCTTCAGCCGCTTGCTGAAGGTCTTTTTGTTTTCAGCTACAGATACATATAGAAATTAATTCCTAAACAGATGGCTTCTAGATAGCTGCACTGCACTATTGTTCATATAGTGAAATACTCTATCTATTTGAATATAGGAATTACTTCTTCCCTTGGGCATTTTGCTACTGTGTTCCATAGCCGTGGCTTTAGCACCCCTACTGGCGTAGAGGTGATGCAGCAGTGTCTTAATCTCTAAATTAGTTTTGGGGTGTTTATACCTTTTTCCTGTGCTTCATTTTATACACACTCTTCCTCACTTCCCATTATGTCTCTCTACATTTAGTCTGCCACTTGGATATGCTGCCTCTGATCCCACATGGACTTTCTTTTCAGCTTTCTAAACTTTAAATCTTTTTTCCCCCCACTATCTCCATTTTCACGTTTCTTCTTTCCCTCCCCATATATCTGTAGACAGATGTTATTTTCTTCTTTTAAAATTACTTCCTTTGTTTAGCAAAGTTTCCCCTTCAGTAAGAGATCAGTTGGCCTCTCAGGCAGTAAAAAAGGAACTGCTGCTCCAGTACTTTCAATTGAAAGTAAGCACTACCATGAATTATGCAGTCCTTGAGAGACTAGTAATCTCTCGCTGTTGGAGAAGGATTGTGAAAGAAAAAGATGTGCATGGG